AACACTCCTCCGCTTATCATTCTTTTAGCGTCCTTGAAGACTTAAAAGCTAAGACGAAATTAGAGACAGAGGAGTATAACTCTCGACTGCAGGTGAGTAACTTTTTTACTTCCGCGATTGAGTTTAAATTAACACGAAAGGGAGATACATCCATTCACACCCTTTATCTTCCTTACCCCAGTTGTGCAAAGAGCACATAACTTTACACATGCTTGACAAATGCTATCGTCCATTTGAACGAACCGAGGGGCACTGAGTATCCTACATGTTTGCTTGGTTCTACTCATTTTCTCTTGTTTGTGTTTGTGTTGTACATATTAAAGGCAATCCAGAAGGAAAAGAGCAACGTAGCCATAAAGTTTGCAGGTACATGCATGATTTGTGTTTTGTTTTATTTCGTGTGCAACTATGATAAGAAAGAAATGGACTTGTAACTGTTTGCGTTCTTGAATTGCAGACGCCGAAGCAAAAAACGCTCAACTTGAACGAGAACTTGAAGCTTATAAAAAGTCACTGAAGTGAGTGCTTTCTTTATTGACGATTCTTTTCATGGCTTTTCTTTTTAGGTAATTGTTTGAAAGAAACATTTACTGTACAACCACAGCAATGAACTGACTGTGGGCGATTCTCAAAGCCTGGCAAAATCTCGAGCTAAGAATGTCTAAACGTGAAACATGCTTTGGAAATTTGACACAAAGTTACCTCTGTAATAATGAGCGTCTCCTTTTCCCCTTGGTTGTGTTTCTTCAGCTTTATATCACGTTCATAGAAACTCGTGCAGCCTTAGCAAATATGGCGTGTTCTCAGCTATAGCTTAAGGTGCAAAAAGAAAACCGAAACATAGAAAACCGAAATATTTGGCGCACACAACTTCCCAGTACTTTCACAATTTTCATGGTTTTTTTTAATTCTCTTCTGATTGAGATTTCAGACAGTAAAATTCTGTTATCAGCCCCATTGTAGGTTGCCGGAGATTGTAGGGGCGCTTTCAGTTGCATTCAACCCGAAAATTCAGGAACTTTCGAAAGAGCGACAAATGGAATGAAAATTTCCCGGGAAAGATTCTGGAAAATCTGAAAATCGTTGAATTTTCAAAATTCGAACCAGGCAACCGAAAATTCCGGAAATTCTGGGAGGAACAAACATTCGTGATAAGAAATTTCCGAAAAGTATGGGATTTGCCCTCGCGAGGTTGTTTTCTTTTCCAGAAATTCTGGAAAATACTGTTCCATTCGTCACTGGAAATTTCCAGACATTAAACCAATTTTTTTTTTATCGAACGGAAAGTGTCGGCCTGGGTTTGTGTCGAAGTGAATATGGCGTGTTCACTCACGTGGCCAGCACATATGCAAATTTATTGGAAAAGAGAAAGTGTTTGCATAAGAAAAGAGTTCAACTCCCACAGGATTGGTTTGGTACACCAACATGGCCGCCCTTTCATTGTTTTGGGACACCAATATGGCTGCCATGAGGTCATGTGAAAACATTATGTCTGGGTCTGTCTGGAGCTTTCAGAATTTGTCTGCCTGGAAACTGAATGAAAAGACTCTCTTATTATGTCCACAGGAAATCAGAGCGCAAGTTTTTGTTCCTTCAACGGAAGTTAGAACACATACAGGAACGAGAGCTGACAGCACAAGAGACACTGTCCCAAGTTCTTACTGTGGTAAGTTTGGCGTGGCATGATGCTTTTGAGACTGTTAGTTAAATATTTTTAAAATTCCTGAACCCGAAATATGAATTCTTTGCACTGATTAGCAGACATGTTTTGTAAAGAAGGGTGTCCCTGGGAACGAGGATTTTTACATACGGGTTATGACTAAGCGTGAGATCAAGATGGCTGGATATTGGCCAACGAGACACAGTCGAGGTTCATTAACACGCAGAAAAAGAAGAACGAGGTCAATGTCCAACTAACCTGAGGGAACAAACTTGGTCAATGAAGGATTTAATATGTGGGCTAAGGACACAATTTTTTTGCGGGATAAAGCGGGTAATTCCGAGCTGGCACAATAGCGCCATTTTGCCGTCTCGGATAGCCAATCACATCGCGTGAGGTGGTTCATCTTACTCGCCCGCGTAACTAGGCACATGACGATCTTCGCAACCGTTAGTTAGGTTGTTATGCAGCGCGTCTTTTTTCGAGCATAGCGTTGTTCAAATAACGGCTGCGAAAGAGGCCGTGAGGAAAGGGTGCAGTTTCTTCAACGCCGGACAGGTAAATACGGAGCGCAGAAAAAACTGCCAAATTATTTATCCTCATTACCTCTTTGCTTGACGTCGATTAGGATAAATTGGTTCTTAAATATAGCACTAGCTTGTCAGTGAAGTTTTAAGATGCGATGGATAACTGCTTTAGCACAATTACTGACAGAGTTAAAATCCGCCTTTCTTTTCGATAGGCCGAGAAAACAGCCGCTGAGAGGGACAACTACGTACAATTTGTAAGTTCACACCGTGCATGTGCTCGGTTTGTAATCACGAGATTATATCTATGTCTTGTGAAGTCTGATTTCTTTTTCTGTGCGAAGCTGTCACGATGTGGTCATCTTCTGTCTTTGTCGGCCACCAATCTGCCTTCAAATCGACGGAAAAGCATGAAAAAATAATTGTGGACTATAAAGGTACAAAAACGCAAGACCTATTGGGTATAATTAACCAGTCAGGGTCAAGGAATGGTTAAAAGGGAACATCATTAATAAGGATTACTAACGGTGAACGTGAGAAATGTAAAGCAAAAAATTCCAACATGCGACACCCATGATGTACACTGTAGTTTCTTTCAGCATTACTCTGTCACCATGGTAACTTAGCTTCTTGGCGTCCCTGGTGGCTGTAGATCTTGTCATTAAAAAAGTTGAATCTTTTCTTTGCAGGCCAAAACACAGAAGGTTCAACAGGAGAAAGCTGCTTCTAAAATCCTTGCTGGAACTCAGAACATTAAGGGACTCGAGGAAAAACTCCAGGTAGGGTTTAACTAATTTGCAACAACAGCAAAGATAAAACAATTCAACTCAAGGCAGACAATTGTGATAAAATTGAGGGACATTTTTTGAGGTAATAAACTGTTGTTAAGTTATAACAAAACTCCGAGTCAAAGTTGGAAACATGCAGGGTTGGCACATCTCAGGAAATGGCTATGAAAAAAAGTTCTTCAATTTTGAGTCATGGAAAATTGACATTTGGAAGAAAAGTCTGGAAAAATTGAAATAATTAACTCGGCTGATTTAGTACCATTGAAGGTTGGAACAAACATTTGGGTCACGGTGATCTCAATTTTTTTCCATAGCGCAGATGAAAAATGTGTTGAAAAGTTATCAGTCTTAAAGAACTAATGGGTGGAAAGGGCGGCTGTCAGGGGAGGCTTGAAGCCGCTTCTATATCTGATATTTTGGTAGGTTGTTCACAGCCCTCTATTTTCTCGTACTTGTATTTGATCGTTGAACGCGCGGATAGAATCGCGCGAGAACTGGACGCCAGCGCAAAACGGGAGACTTGATTTTGGATTTATTTGGTAAGGGAAATTTTAGTTTCATTAGGAAAAAAATTCAGGGAATTTTGAAAACTGATGTTTGTGGCAACCATGAACCACGAACCAATTGTTCGTTCAGCTTTTTGTGTTGTGGTTGTCGTGCTTTAAGACTAATATGGTCGTGCCCGTTGAAATGATAATTAACCAATTATTTTTCCTGGTAGGAATACCGGCAAAAGGCCACTGACAAGGTCGCTGTAGTTACAGGAAGGTAAGAGACTAAAGAAAAAAGAAAAAACAACCAAAACCCCCGTTAGCTTTCGGAACAGATGGGATAACAGTTGTCTTTTATCTCGATCAGGTTGCGGGAGAAAGAGAAGGAGATTAACAAACTTAAAGAGCAATACGAAGGAGAAATCAATAATCTTCGCGCCATGGTCAGACAAAAACAACGTCAACTGGAATTAATGATCGGAGAGAACAGGTAAGGCGCGTACGGTCACACGAATACGTGTAATTGCCTGTGTCACGCTGTCACGCTAATGGAGATCCCTTTACAATGTATAACCACCTCCCCTTAGGGCGCGACTCGTGCTCCTTAGAAAATCTTTCTGCCTCCAATTTGGCGATGAAAATTCTCTAGCCCACGAATCGTACTTGGAAACGTCCAGTTTTCCACTTGTGTTTCAATACCATTTTATACTACCCCCACTACTATTCAAACGATTTGGCTCGCTTTGACAGGCGAGTTTCTAGAGTGGCGCTTTGTTGACAAACTGTTTGAGTATATATAACTGAATATGAACAATGAATTGTTTATTTGTATCTTAGGAGCGTCGATAAAGAACTGGAACTAGTGTGGAAGAAAGCTGCCGCTGACAACAGGCGAATGAAGGACACAGTTCGACAAAAGGGCGGCATGTTCGATTCGGACTCAGACCCCAATGCTCACCTGTCGTCGGAAGAAGGGGAGGCTGCATAGTCGGATAGGCAAAGAAATTGTAAAAAACGATAGGATTCATTTGCGGACATCGAACAAAGACTATTTCGACCAAGGACAGGAGTTAATGCTGGATATGAGGGAGTCTACTAGTAAATAACTGGTTCGGTGTCTGGTTGCTTTTGAGAGGACATTTATTCACGCGAATGATGTCAAAGCTTATCGCAGCTAACCTCTTTGAAGATGAGCATATTTGAAATATGCTGTGTTATGTTCATAACGCCATCAAAGTACCATGTATTTATTAAAGAGTCATGTACAGAAAAAATATTTCTAAATGATAAATGTAAAGCTTATTTTAGCAATTTGAAAATATAAAACTGTACCTAATAACCCGAATGTATCTTTATTTCACTTCACTCTTTTGCTACTAAAAAAGCAAGGAAGCCTTCACCAACATAACTGCTGGTTCTTCTTTATAATGAAATACACAGATTTTGCGCAAGTGACATGCCCAAAATATTCAAGGTAACGCATTTCCTGGCACGTAATAAAACATCCCACAGCAGACTCTCAATAGACAAAAAAAAAACCGTTTAATCAAAGTTTCTCTATTTGGGAATCCCCGACTTGTTGCACATCACAACAACTATCAGTAATCTGTGAATCACCGGACGGGAGGCGTAACCGTAGAAATAAAGTTGCGTTTTTGAATTTCTCCGTTTTCGTAAACATGAACAACAGCTGTGTGAAACAGCTTAAAACGCAATCGTTAGAAGGGTTTGAAGTCCTGAGTTCGCGATTTACTGAAAATCGCTATAAGATGATGCTAAATTAGCCTGCAGTGCATGTTTACCTAAAGCAATATGGCGGCCTTGCCGGCCTTAACACTGGATCCGCCCAAAATACGCCAGCACTGCAGGCTAATGCTACATATAAGTTCACACCTACATAGTTACGAGTTGTTATCGCCTACCACAAACGTACCGCGGAGTCGAACGTGGGTTGACGATTTTCTTTATTTTCACACCTTTCTGCTTCCTACGTATTGCTAACGTAAAATTTTATCACGTTTCGATCGAATTCAAGGGTTACAACAATCATTATAAAGTTCTTAAATCATCCCAATGGTAACATTTTCTTGACAAGAGCTTCTGATGTGAACGTTTTAAGCGTGAAGCCAAGAGCACATATTTTTTAAACCTGCGAACATCACCTTTTGGCAATTTGCTAAACCTAGTTTAACTTGACTGGTTGGGTTTGTGTGAATGGAGAGAGTTTTTACACCAAGCGTTTTTTTCTCCTCTTCCCGGAGTCACTGGGATTTTTTTTTAAATTACAAAGTAGATTAACTCTGACTCATTGATGCACAACTTTCAGCTTTGTAATCTGTGTGTAAGAAAAAAAGAACCACATTGAACTGCTTGAAATTTATACTTGAAGAGCGTACATTGTAAGTATTTGAACTCTAAAGTAAAATGACTAAATCTGACAATCAATCTGGTTGAAGANAGATTTTGCGCAAGTGACATGCCCAAAATATTCAAGGTAACGCATTTCCTGGCACGTAATAAAACATCCCACAGCAGACTCTCAATAGACAAAAAAAAAACCGTTTAATCAAAGTTTCTCTATTTGGGAATCCCCGACTTGTTGCACATCACAACAACTATCAGTAATCTGTGAATCACCGGACGGGAGGCGTAACCGTAGAAATAAAGTTGCGTTTTTGAATTTCTCCGTTTTCGTAAACATGAACAACAGCTGTGTGAAACAGCTTAAAACGCAATCGTTAGAAGGGTTTGAAGTCCTGAGTTCGCGATTTACTGAAAATCGCTATAAGATGATGCTAAATTAGCCTGCAGTGCATGTTTACCTAAAGCAATATGGCGGCCTTGCCGGCCTTAACACTGGATCCGCCCAAAATACGCCAGCACTGCAGGCTAATGCTACATATAAGTTCACACCTTCATAGTTCCGAGTTGTTATTGCCCACCACAAACGTACCGCGGAATCGAACGTGGGTTGACGATTTTCTTTATTTTCACACCTCTCTGCTTGCTATGTATTGCTAACGTGAAAATTCATCACGTTTCGATCGAATTCAAGGGTTACAACAATCATTAAACAGTCTACAAATCATCCCATTGGTAACATTTTCTTGACAAGAGCTTCTGATGTGAACGTTTCATGCGTGAAGCCAAGAGCACATATTTTTTAAACCTGCGAACATCACTTTTTGGCAATTTGCTCAACCTAGTTTAACTTGACTGGTTCGGTTTGTGTGAATGGAGAGAGTTTTTACACCAAGCGTTTTTTCTCCTCTTCCCTGAGTCACTGGGATTTTTTTTAATTACAAAGTAGATTAACTCTCATTGATGCACAACTTTGAGCGTTGTAATCTGTGTGTAAGAAAAAAAGAACCACATTGAACTGCTTGAAATTTATACTTGGAGAGCGTACATTGTAAGTATTTGAACTCTAAAGTAAAATGACTAAATCTGACAATCAATCTGGTTGAAGAAATATACAAAATGCTTGCCTATGCGTGCAGCGTTTTCTCTACAATCCTTTTGTGATATCACTTCCCGGAGGCTAAGGCTTTTTCTACTTGTTAAATGTGAACAGCGGAAGGATACAAAAAGAGTACAACAGGACGGCTTACCTTTTGAAGTGGGAAACACTTATCACTAGTCGTCATCGTCATCAGAATCGTCAATACGTTTTCTGTTGAACTGAAATAAGAACACAAATGAATATGGACAAACAGTGCCAACACTATACTTCAGGAACGATCACCGCAGTTATGCATGCATGAACGCAACTTAAGGTCGGCACGCACGAGGGGACTAGTCGCGGGGGCAAGTCCCATCGTGTGAACTGGTCATTTTTGCCACAAAATCTAGTCGCAGGGACTAACATTTGGTCCTTGCGACTAGTCTCACGAATTCAAACTAGTTTGGATTTTTGGGACAAGTCCCTGCGACTTGTTTTTCAAAACGCTTTGTGTGAACTGTTCGTGGGACAACTCCCAGTTGGCTTGTCAGCTCAGTTGGTAGAGCACTACACTGGTATCGCAGAGGTCATGAGTTCAAATACCATTCATGCCTGAGTTTCACGCTACATTTTCGCAACTTGTTCAGTTGCGTTGTCAAGATCTATAAAGAAGCATATATTTTTCTCGCAGTTAAAATACATAGTCCATACAGCGTGGAAAACACTGCAGAGAAAGTAATGTAGCAAATTCAACTAGTGGTACCCACTCACACAGCAAGACTACACCAAGTTGTATGACTTAACGTTATGTTGGCCACTTACAAAATTACCTTTAAATTGAAGGAAACCTGAAAAAATAGTTTTCTATGATGGAAAAACACTAAAGAAATAAAAACACACGAAGGAACAAGGGTGGTCGAGAATGGAAAAGATTGATACGGATTACAAACGACGAACTTGAAAAAATTAAGCAGAGGCAAGACACTAATGAGCGTGCAGTAAAATTAGAAAGAATGCTAATATGCAGTTCCAGAAAATAACCATACCCACCCAAATTCTGAGGGGGTTTGGGGTTTCGATAACAAACATGTTTAAAGAAAGTATGAAACTATTATAACTGGGAATTCCATAGGGGTATATATGAGGGTTCACCCTGTATATTTTCTGGAACAATACAATTCTGTTCCATGCCAAGCTATGCCAGTATTTATTGGTATTTTTCTCAGTTTGAAGGCTACATAGCACAGTTGCTAATTACAATTTGACCAATGTCTTGAATCTACATCCGTGACATTTGCAAATGAATTCTCCAAAATGAAGTAGCATCAAAAAATTGTTTTCTACCCTCTTTCTGTCATTCAGATCACC